GGAAGCCGCGGCTTTCTCTGGATCGTGGCTGTAGATTCGCGGAATAAATTCTGTCGCTACATCGCCAGGAGAGATGCACTGCAGAAAAGAGAGGACAATAGTTCAGGATGTATGTGTTTTATGATTAATAATAGTGGTGTTTTTGGTACTCGTGGAGCTGGTGACAGACACAATTTATTGCTATAATTGCAGAAATCTTACTGTGGCCCGGATGTGGCTCTTGGCTTCACGCAGCTCCTGCCTCAGGCCCTCGGTCAGGGCGGTCACTGCGTACTTGGTGGCGCTGTAGAAGTGCACATCCGCCATTGGAGTTATGCGATGTCCACTCATGCTGCAACAGAAGAAGATGTACATGTACATGTACAGATGTCAGCATTTACCAACATGTACTGAAATGATCTCAGGGCACAGAACAAGAATTATCTCTAAGAAAGTACGTCTCCTTTCCTTGTTTAAAGCCACATGTCCTGTATAAGGTCGAAAGCTGTCACAAACAGACAATTATTTGCAGAAAGCTGCACCTGTTTATGTGGATGATGTGCCCGTCATCAACATTTCTTTCTTTCATCGACTGATACGCTTCACGTGTGCAGATGGACAACCCAATCACGTTCACCTGCAACAGTGAAGAAAACATTTGGAATTAAGACCCCAAACTTCACACTAAATCATTGCTTCTGTTATACAAGTAAAGTGTTTGTCATCCTTTAAAGACAGACATTTCCATATTTGCTGCAGCCTTTTTTACTTCTATATTTATTCAAGATTTTACATTCCAGTTTGCGTCATGTTGTTGCTATAAAAGGATGTCATGTTTAACCGCTTTTGACTTGATGAAGTGTTTTCGACTAGTCACAATAGAAAACATACAAATATTCCACACTGAATAACATTATTTACATTTCTCAATAAGCCTTGAATTCATGTTTCTAAAATAACAACACTGATCTCTTACATCCAGCATGGTCTTCCAGCCGCTGGTTTTGCCATTTAACAGCTGATCCGGATGAGCCAGTCCGGCGTTGTTGATGCAAACATCCACGCCTTTGTGCTCCGCTTTGATGGCTGCAAACATGGACAGAATCTCCTCCTCTTTGGACAAGTCACACTTGATAGGCACCAAAACACCAGTGTAGCCTGCTTTGTTACACTCTGCTGCCACTTCCTGGAACCAAAATGAAAAACACAACAGATGGTCAGCTACACAATCAACTCTGTATTTTCAGTAACCTGCCATTCAAAGGTTTTAATAGCAACAGAACTGCTGCAAAGTTGTAAAAAAAAAAAAAAAAGAAGAAGAAGCTTGTATTTACAGTCTTTAGTAATCATCCCACACATCTGGATAAGGTAAGTTCTTAATTTGGAAGATTATAATCTACTACAGTCGTGACTTGATAATCCGACCCTTAACATCTGAAAACCTTGCTATTCGACAGGTTTTTAGGAAAAACAAACGGAACCCAAAGAAAATAGCCTTAACATACCGACAGCCTTGGATTCTGACTCCGACATGACATTTTGTGTCACAAATAAGGATAACGGCGTATTATCTGATTTAACAATCTGACAGATTGGTTCAGACTGCAGCACTTAACGCTCAATTCGGATTTTTTGGTGAGATCTGAATTTTTTGTGAGTTCATTCACATTTCTAATTAAACATGACTTGTATGTGATCTGCTGTGTGAACTTCATGCGACCCAGAAGTGTCCCGCATGCGCAGAAGAGGACACAACGACGTCACACGCAGCGAGCGTGCTCAGTGTTTACGAAAGTAAACACGGATGGTAACAGTGGAGCATAACTCCCACTCCCCCGCCACTGATGGTAGAAACTGAACTGTGACCACTACCTAAACTGGCATCAGCAG